CACTGGTCTGCTGAATTATTTTCTTTTACCATAGTGCAGATAGAGCATCACCTTGCTCTTTCTTAAAACAAGTGAATCTCAAAGAATGTCAGTATAAGAAGGTGGCATAAAATGTACTTGCAGATCTTTCTTTTTGGCTTAAAAAACAGGGAGTCCAGAAAATTATATAAGAGGGAAAATTACCACATTCTTTTTTAAGAAACGAAGGTCTGCTACACTAAATTAGCAGAGTATAATTATAATACAGTCTATACCTAACAAGCTTAGCAATGAATGATTGAGACACGATCTGTTCTACAGGAAATGCCAAGATGTGACTCAAGTAGATCAACATAAGGTCAAAACATTGTGAAAACATTGTGAAAGTGGTGCTTTACACCTCGATGGGGAAAAAAGGTTCTTAGGGTTTCATCTTTGCTTTCTAAGCAATTTAGATAAGGAACACAACACACTGTCTCCATCCTGGTAGGAACAACAGAGTGTTTACAGCCAGATAGTCCAGAAAGAACTATATGAAGGAATTACTTCAAAATTATAGAAGTATTTACGGCTTAGGGACTCAGATAGAATGAGAACCACTGTCTCACAAAGTAAAACCCCCACCATAGAAACGTACCCTGATTAGACTCAGGAAACACATGCATCCCATTGCCACAAGTATAAATGTTGATAACAAGCTTGTTCAGAGACTCAGTAGTTCACAAGAGCATAAGGCTTATACCTTTGGGTGGCAGTTCAATTGCAAGATAGTGAGAAGAAATGCAAAATATTGGACACTTTTTTGCATAAACAGAAACATTACAGTGCAGTAAATAAACAGCTACCAGATGCTGGATACTGATGTAGATAGAAAACAGAAAAAGAAGATAAAATCTCAGGCTCATAATCAACAACGTTTTGAAAAGTCTTATTAAAATGGTCTATTTTAGATAGATAAGATACTCCTTGTTCTGATTGTTGAAGAAGAGAATTATGGCAATTTTGAAAGAACCCATGGAAGATTGCTCTGCAGTGGCTCACTCTTTTTCTCACCATATAAATAGTAATAACCACAATAATAGCACCTCAGTTTCAATTACACCAACATACCACTTGGTCCACTTCACCTTAAAATAAATGGATAATGTTAGGATTAAACTTGAGACCATTATACTCACAGGGGGAAAATTAAAAAATCACTTCCTCACCTGCACAGCAAGGTCAAAGCAATGAGATATGCAGACAGTGCCCATAATAAAGGCTGGCAACTACGTTGACTTCAGCCAAAGGGTTCATTGAGGTTCCACCCAGGAAGCCATGCATTTCATCTGCAGCACATGCTGAGCGTCAGTGCCAAATCAAAAGTGAAACTGTGAAATACAGCCGGGTGGCTCTACCGACACTTCCGTACTGAATGGAAAGGTACCAGTCTCATAAGAGCAACTAAAAGCATTCAATACTAATGTCTTGCCAAGGACAACTGAAATGGAGGGCAATTGTCAGTTATCCAAGAAGACGAAAGTTAAGTTGAAATGGCAGTAAGAAATATGAAAAACATGCTTTCTGATTTTCCTTCCTGTCAAGGTAGGGTGCTAGAAAGTGGGCAACATGTTGTAAAGATGTACTAAAAGTGAGAAGAAAAAAGAGCAGAAACCTCAAAGAGTTATGAGACACATCTTGATCCTCTACAGTTGTGGTTACATTCAGCATTTAGTAGGGAACAAGTAAGCAACACATGAACAAATACACATTGGGCTGTTAAGGTAAATAGTGCCTCTCTTAATTTTACACTGATTGCAGAATGCCATCAGACTAAATATATAGATTTTTAAAAACATCTGCAGGAAACAAATTAGCTAATGTTTACATCAAAATTCTCTTATCAGAACAAAACAAAGGGCCTTTCAGGCATCTTTCACTAAAAACAAAATAAAGCCAAAGCAAAGCAAAACAATGTTGACTGTGCTTTTTTGAGGATGATATAACCAGTATAAAAAAGTCCATTCACTGTTTCTAAACATTTCACCATTTAAGTGATTTTTGCTTCACTTTCAGACTTTCACCTCCAGAAACTGGTTTCAGTTTATGAAGTTATTCACCATGTTAATAAGACAGTATGTTTTTATATAACGTGTATTAGGCACCTCTCTCTTAAAACCAAGAAAATGCAGAGAGACAAATTAGAAATTACTACTCTATATCTTTGTCTTCACTGACATATACTTTCCCATTGTGAAAACAATACACAGTGACTACAAGTTTCTGTGCCTAACAAAACACCAAAAATAAAACAACAAAATTCACATTGTATTTCACACTATATCAAGCACCATATCCACCCCTGTCTAACTTAACAGCTGCAGGTGCGAGCTTCCCAAATACATTTGGCTCTTCCTTTGCATTTATGCATGTGTTTCAGAGTCTATATGGTAACGAAGGAATGCATCAAATCCAAAGGTAGCTGTGGAATTAAATGACACATCTATGAGGCTGGTGTTTTGCTGAAAGAAAAAGAGGAAGACGTCACACAGCACATAGCAGAAGTTTCTCTTCAGCTCCCATTCTTATTAGATGAACAAAGAGATGAAATACGGCAAGTAAGGAAGTAACCAACCAAGTTTTAGCAATCTCTAAGAAACACCTACAAAAGCATTCCCTGTGCTAAAAAAAAAGTTCTATGATTTATAATAGTGTACAAAGGATGGAAGTATCACTGAAAAAGACTGAATAAAAAATTAAACTACTACTGTGTTTCCATTTGGCCCCATTGACAATAAATCTATACCATTTTTATTGAACTACTGTAGACATTTTCCCTATTACTGAAGTCAGGGTTGATAACATTTTATATTTTAAAAAATCTTAGCAAAACTTAAACAGAAGTAAGTTACAAAATTTGTATGCAGGCGGAAGACTTTTCAAGATGGAAAACTCCCACTTTTTTAGATCATGAACTCATGACATTTTATTGTGACCTGTGAATAAACTATGAAACAATGGTCATAAAAGCATTTTCCTTTCTAATGCTGAGTAACATTGCAATAAGTACTGTAAGTCAGCAACTGTTTTAAGTAGGGAATTTTTTTAATGAAAAACAAAAGAGATGGAATGCGTTTGTGCATATTAGTACACAAAGCTGCAATTAAGGTTGAATACTGTCCCTTCAAAATGAAGTAGAACAGAGTTAATGAAAGTTGAAGCAAAAAAAGAATAAGAATTGCAGACAAGGACATGAGGAAGGGTTTGACGTTTTCTTTGCTTGATGGCAAAGAAACTTTGGTTCAAAATTAATAAATTACTAGATAAATAGAGATGCAGTAATCAGTGGTAACTGTCCACATCTCCTCTTAGATGGAGGCAGCATACAACAAACTTTGCTTCTATGCAAAGGGGCAATCCAACCTCACATTCTTTAATATTTTCTGTTCCCTGACATGTATTTATGCCAGTGCCATCTGGCCTTACACTGTACAGAAATATGGCCCAGGCCCAATTCTTTCCTTCATATACTTGCTACTCCCGCATCTATTTTCTATCATAATTTAACTGAAATGTTCCACAAGAAAAAAAAATATACATGAAGATAACTATAAACATTTACATACTAACAAATAATATTTAAAAGCAGCAATTGACAGGGATAAACTGTAACAAAGATGGTGCTGGGGACACAAATGTACTAACTGTGGAAAACAAAAAGTGAGCTTGAATGAGATGGATGTGTAAGAGAAAAATCCTGAGGAACCTCTATTCCATCACTGTGTACTGAGATTAACATTTTACCAGAGTGCATCTCTTCCCAAGTCAAGCCTCATTTATTTCCAATTCTTGCATTCCCATAACAACGATCTAAGACACTAAAGGAACATACATTTAAGAGGAGAGCAAGCATTCCCCAGAGCATTTCCAAAAAGCAAATGGAAATAAAAAGCTTTTATATGAATGCAGGAGAGCTTAAATATGTTAGGGAAATCTCTACACCAATGGCCTCTTACAGTACTTTTATCTCAGCCTGTAGCAGACTTAGGCCCCAGTGTCTCATTGAAGGAGTTCTAGGGCTGGCCTCCTTGAACTTGCAGAGCACCTCTCCAAACAGTGGCCTCTCCACCCATAAGAACAATCACTTCTTCTAGAAGATCCAGGATTCTTGGCCCTTCCGCTTAAACCTTCAAAGTATCTATTCACTTTGTATTAACAACCTAACCACCTGCACCCATCCAGAAACAAAATCCCAAACCTCAAAAGACCCCACACTACCGCAGAACAAAAACAGCATCTCAAAAGAAAATAAGCAGAACTTAAAAGTCTTTATAAAAATCTTCCTGCCTAAATGCATCACGAATTAGTGTGTCTTATAATCACAAAATATTTATTTTCATCAGGCTTTGGAAAACCAACACAAAGCATATTCCCCCCCTTGCCATAGAAAACCTGAAACAGAAGCTGGCATCTCACAGAGATGAAACACAGCAGACCCTAATAAGCATTACAGAATCCAATTTCTGCATAAATACATATGCACATCAAGCTTACTGTCAGTGAGACCAACCATGTAAGAAGAGACATTACTGCGTACACATGATGGGTCCTAAGCAGAGGGCAAGCATCTCATGGAGCAAAACAAATCTTGGAATGAAGTGGGACTCATTTTCTTCCACTCTACAAAATTTTCTAGATTTCCTTCTAATAATCGTACCCATTTTAAAATAAATAAATACTATCCGTTAAAATTTGCATAATTTCTTGGGATTGTTTGATTAGGCAGTGTGGTGCTTGGAAGTCATCAGTCAGACCAGTAAATAAGGACTGATAATCTGTAAATACCTAACAAAAATAATTCTTGCTTGTTAGTTAAACCTATGTCCACTTCATCCTCTCTCTAATTTAGTGCTCCTGCAAATCTTCAGTGATTTGCAGGCCTAGCAACTGCTTTAAGGGCTGAGGGAAAGAACTTTTCTCAAAATCTCACCCATTAACTAGAACAAACCAGTCTTGATGGGGAACCAAGTGAGAAAAATCACAGTGTCTGCAGATACTCCTCTCACCCAGCCTCCCCAGAGTGATCTGTTCCCTAGTGTTGCCATAGAAAACGGAAAGGAAGCCTCCAATTAGGGACGAGGTCACATTTAAGCAGAGATATTATATAAATATCAGCCAGCCAGCACCCTGCAAAAAAAAAAATAAATAAAGGCCTCATCCTGCCAGTTCTCCGGGGCAGGCCTCGGGTTTGCTCCTGGAAGACCCCTGCCCGCAGGGCTCGGCTTGCAGGAGCATGTGTAACGCTCCGGAGCCTGCCCTGGGGGACCCCCCGGCACCGCCGGTACAGCCCGGGACGGGGGCGGGCGGCAGAGCCGCGGCGGGGCCGGGATGCTCCGCACCGCCATCCTGACCTGCCGCAGGTCCCGGCGGCTGCGGGACCGTCCGCGGGGTCCGGCGGGGATGGGGGAGCACAGGCAGATCCTCCGCGGCCGCGCCCCGGCCCGCTGATGGCTGCGGGGGAGCTGCGGGAGGGCGGGGGCCGGCGGGGCAGAAGCCGCCTCGCCTCGCCTGGGCACAGGCAGCGCCCAGCCCCGCCAAGGACCGGCCGTCATTCCCGGGGCTTCCTCGCCCGTCGAGTCACCTGCACGGACGGGCGAGCGGAGCGGGACACGGCCTCGCCCCGCCCCAGGATGCACTTTTTTTCCCCTCAGGCACCTCGCACGACCAAAGTCTCCGAGCGCGACAGCATCCTCCATCCATCTATCTATCCATCCATCTATCCATCCGTCCATCCGTCCGTCCGTCCGTCCTTCCTTCATCCCCCCCCAGCCCTTCCCCGCGTCGCCTCCGCATCCCCCACTCGTGCCTCCCGCCGCCGCCACTCACCCACTCCGCGGCCGACGAGGGCGACAGGGCCCGGCCAAGCCCTCGCCCGCTCCTTCCCCGGGAGGGACCCGCTGTGGCGATGCGGACGGAGCAGCGGAGCGGCGGCGAAGCACCGCCCGGCAGCCGCACCTCGCTGCCGGCGCCGGGTCCCTCCCCAGCTGTCACCGGCGGCCCGCCCTCGGGGCGGTGGCGGCCGGGCCCTCCCGCAGCCCCGCCCCGCTGCCGCCGCCGCCGCGCCGGGGAGCGCCGGCCGCCCGGGATGCTCGGGATGCTCGGGAGCGCGGCACCGGCGGCTTCCCCGGGGGCTCCTGCTCCGGGAACCTTGCCCCGCAAACCAGGCGGTGTGCGCGGGGCTACCTCAGGTGTCCCCTCACTCGCCTCCCCAGTTCCGCAGGTGCGGGGCACGGCCGGCATGGAGCGATGAGGAGGATGTACCCGTTTAATTTTTTGTGTTGCACCCGACCGTCGCACAGAAGAATTAGACGCGGAATTGCCAGATTAACTCGTTCGCACTCACTATCCGTGCCAGACGCCTGTAAACCCTAATGCCATCTAAAACCTCGTTGTTTTGTAAGGATGGAACAGAATAGCAGCCTGAGGCTCCTGGGCCCAGACTTTGCTGTGGGCTTCAAACTAGACTGACTCCTCTGCACCAACATACGTTGACTGTGAACGCACCTTTACTAAAACGCTGTTCATGACCATATTTCAGTTGATCCAGATTCAGTGACTGGCCCAGTGAATGCAGCAGAAGTGTATTTCTGTTAGCCAAATAGCAAGACCTCAGGGAGTGGGAACAGTCTTGATAATTGTCTCAGTGTTATGTTGATAGCTTATGCAGTATTTGAGTAAATAGGCCCAGAATCAAGGAGAAAATAACCAGGTTTACCATTTTATTTGGTTTTTAGTTTTGTTGTTATTGTTGCTGGGGAGTTAGGTTTGTACTTAGCTTAGTAAGACAAGATGGCTACAGAAAAATAAATTTGAAAGAGGAACCACAAACACAAGAACCAAGGATCAGCCTCAAAACATGCCAGAAGAAATGGGTTTATGGGGTTCATCAGAGAGACAGCTCTGGGCAGCCTTACAGGGATAGAAATTTTAAAAGGGAACACTTGAGTCATGCAGATAAAACTAACACTATTGATGGCCACACTGAATGCTTTAAATCCAAATCTGAGTGGAACAGACATTTTAACAGTAAAGGGAATTAAACAGTTAGAAACACCTTTTGAGACTAAAAGGGAACATGCATTGCTGGACCGTGTGGAGCAACGTTTAAACAAATGTCTTTCCAAAGGGAGGCATTTCAAACAGAAACTAAAGAAACTAAAGGAATTCTTGTAGCCAGAAAAACCCTAAAAGCTCGTCCTGTGTAGAGAAAATGCTGCTTTTGATTTTAAAATCAATAAGAATTGAATATTCCAGTTGGTATTAATTACTTCATATAGTTAATTTGTTCCATTTTCCAACACAATTTCAGGTATAAATGTTTGAAATTTATGCTCTTTAAAAATGCCAACACATTTACTGGTGGCTATGTTCCAAGTCTGGATTAATGAAACCATAATGAGCAGCTTGTTATGCTTTAGCTGCTATCTAACAGTTCTTAATAGGACTGGGAATAGGAATTTGGGGTCTAAGTTCTGGCCTGGTCAGGGAGAAAGGAAATTGGAGCTCTTAAATAATACATGCATGGATTTGTATTAGTGTTATGTCTTGTGCAAGGATGCAGTGTTGTGTTCTGAAGAAAGGCAGGATGTTCTGTATAGAATTCACTTATAAGGAGCTGGTTCATAGGGTTGCTACACGAAAATTATTTTCTTATTAAATAATTTTTACTTAAAAGTACTGGAAAATAAATAAGAAGGTGAATTTCATAACTTAGCTACTACTTTGTTTCTCAGTATTTTTCATTAATAGAAGTGTTTGAGCTTTTTTTTTTAGTTAACATAAATTTGGCACCATTTAAAAGTCAGGTTAGGTGATCCTCTTATCTGCACAGTCAAAAATTATTAGCTTCCTGTCAGACATGGCTCTATAGCCGCTGTTCCCTTCAGCTGGAGAGCAACCATCACATCATGAACCCTAGAGCATCCTTTTGAGAGTGTGGGATTTGATATCCACTAATGTCTAAAAACTGAGGGACCCATTGCACTGTCTGCACTGCATAGATGCAGTGGATAGAACTAAATGCCCTAAGGGGACATGGAATATTCAAGAGACTCAAGTATTAAGTGAAAGCAAAGATTTATAATCCAGCCTGGTTTTGGTTTTCTTGTTTATTTCCAGCAGTGTTTTACGTTACTGGAAGAAAATTACTGGGTCCTGCCCAAGTTCACACAGGAATTCTGTGGGTCAGCCAGAAATTAATCCTGATATATCCTGGTAACTGTGGTGTCCCTGCTGATGTAGGAAGCTTCTGAACAACATACATGGAGCGCGCAGTTGTGAAATACAGAAGGTGTCAGTAAAGGAGGAGAAGTATTTTGCCCAGCTGTTGGCTGATTTATTATTACTGGTTGTTTGGCTGGTGTGTTACCAGCTTCCTAACTCTGCTTTTAGGGATCAGCAAAGAAGATTGAAATATTGAATCTGAAAAGTGCTATGTGAGATATCAACAAGAAAATATTCAGCTCTGTTCTGAATTCCCTAAAATCAATGCAAATTCTTAATTTACTTTAGGAGGAATAAAACTGAGTCTTTGAAGTAACACTTTAAAAATGCATTTAAAACCTTTTGGTAACTTCATGCCTATGCAATTTAGAATTAGAGGCACTTTGACTTTACTGTACTCATACTGCAGTAACTATATTAAGTAGAAAGCAAAATAAAATTTCAAGGACAGGCCATAATTGAAAAGTTAATTCATTTTTAATATTGATATGCTCATTGTACAGAGATTTAAGCCTGCAGAATAGCAGAAGAATATTTAAATCCTTGCTTTACATTTGCCTTTTAATCATAATAAAAATCTCTTGCAAAGAGAGGCGGTCTTGCTCAGTTAAAACTCAAAGTGTGAGAAGTTTTTAAAGCTTCAGCTCTGAATAATTAAAATGCTTTAAGCTTTTACATTATATTATGAAAAAAAATCCTAGAGCACTTTTGAAACTGATTTACACACAGGGCACCAGACTATCTGCTGCTGTAAATATAAAAGCAGTGCATTGATTATTCTTTATTATTTGTGTTGTTGTTATTATTAATATTATTGTTTAGAAATCAGAAATACACATGGAAGAACAGATTTATTTTCTTTTGCACACTATGGTTTCTTCTCATTGAAATGCAGCCATCTGCAGGCAACTATATAACAGTGCATAGCAACAGTACAATTATGTACAATATATGGCAATATTTAAAACTTCTTACTGCTCAGCACTGGTTCTTATTAATGTTAACACTGGTCATGACAGGCAAGGAAAAATTACTTTTAGGAGCAACTTTAAGTAGACTGGCTGTAATTATGCACTTTAAAGGATTTGGGTGTGATCTTTTATGGGAATAATTTTTCTGGAAAAGTTGGATTCAAGACATCTGTTTCAGAAAGCCTGGGAGATTCAGTCATTGAAATGGAATGAGGCTTATTCTTCTAAGTTATTGCAGCATTGTGAAACTTGCAGTAGAATTTCATTTAGAACAGTAATGTTTTCATAGTCATATAAATTTTGAAAGAAACACTATTTATTCAGATTAAAGATTGTTGGAAAGAGCTGAAACAAATTTCTGTAGTTGAGATGTGTTTTATTCAGAGAGTCGGCTGCTAAGTGCCTGTATACGGAATGCCTGAGCTCCCCCTCTGTGCCATGGTTGAATCTCTGGCAAGGCTACCTTGGCCCTGGAGCAGAGGTGCCTCTTACATACCATAGGACAATCTGTCTTGCTGTGCAGTCAGATACAAAATTGACAGTGGCATCAATGCACACAAAAAAAAATCACCTACCACACTTCTGAATTTCAAAACTCACAATGTGTATCTGCTGAACCAAAAGGGGAACTGGTGCTGGTGTCCACAGCTCATAAGGTGGGACCGTAACTGGTGGGGAATACTGTTCAGTTTGGGCAAGGGCGAAACCTGCCTACACCTGCTGACAGCCCTGTGTGCATCCTACAGATTCTTTCTACAACACATATGTTGTCACAATCAAAACTTATCCAAATGGTAGAATTAACAATAAGACAAGTTGTAGTGTATGTCCTCGGAGATGTTCTCCCCCTCTCTCTCACCCTATTGATGAGTTCTGCCTTAGGTGCATGTTGGTGGAATATCCAGAAATAGCATGTGTTACAAACATATGCTTCTAATAGGGAATAATTACCATGCAGGGATATCAATAGCAGCAAAGGAATCAGACTGCAATTAAGAGTTGAAATATGTAGTTTTAAAAATCCTAAATTACATTTCTGTATTGCATTGGGTAGACTGTACAATATTCCTTTCTTTTGTGTTGAGCATGTGACTGAGCAGATATGTATGCACTTTTCATGTTTCCTTGCACCTGTTTTAGAGAAGTCACTTATTCCTTAATAGAGGGTGAAGAGTCTTCTGGGAATATACACCCTGAAATTAGGATTTATTATAGGCTTTATGTACAGCTGACTTGGTTAAAAGCTGCCTTGCTGTGCAGTCACATATCAAATTAAAAATGACAATATAAATAGATGAATTTAATGACTATGCTGTGGAATAAGGGAATAAACAATTTGACTCATGCTGAAACGAAGGGGAAAACTGAAGATTCACGATATATTAACCCATGTTTGGTCAAAGATGCTGCTATAGAAATAAGCACCAGGGCTTTGGATGGCAATTGATTTCTCATGCTACCTGCATAGCCCTCTTTAATGCACATGTTGAGATGATTAGCTGTAGTAAGGAGAGGCTAGGGATTAAAAGGGTAAAAATAACAGCCATTATACTTCTTAGAAGGAATTCTCTGAGGATGTGTGCCTGTGGCTCACTCACACTTGCTTTAGTATATGCTGCACTGAGCTATTCAGAGCTTTGTTGGAACAAAGCTGCTAAACAAGGTTGTTAAAACCATGAAATTTTGGTGAAAATTTTCTTGTCTTCATGATTCTTTCTCTTTAAGGATG